TTTCTTTTTTAAACTGACGGTTCGAGATTACTAGTAGCCCACTATTTCATTGCACAACAGTTGTTGGGTTCGTGTCACAGGCTCTTTAAATATCTGCCACAACATAAGTAACCGGATCACAGTAACATTAAGTACAGTCCGCAGCACTGTGAGTGCAGACGTCGGTGTGTCCCATTATCATTCAGATCACATCATATCACATCATAATGTATCATATATTTCCTTCAGCTGAGCAGTATCTGGCCTTGAAACACTCACAGTGTCACATATATGCAGAAGTATTATTTTAAGCAACACATTAAGTTGACGAAACACTCGAGTCAAATGTAATTAAAGTCAGATCCACTCGTGTCTTAGACGGGGCAGTGATATCATAAACCTGTTAATGTACGCATTCAAACACTTGTTCTTTTACCAGCTGTATTCACCGTGAATACAGCTGGTAAAAGAACAAGTGTTTGAATGCGTACATTAACAGGTTTATGATATCACTGCCCCGTCTAAGACACGAGTGGATCTGACTTTAATNGACGCGGCCAACGGGATCGTAGGACGGACGGCTTTCGCGAAATCCGCTGGCCCCCTTTCGCACCACCATCACGAACAGTAGTTTTATCGTATGGACTACCGAAGAAGACCCTGAATAGGTGCGTAGTCTACAGTACGAGGAGGCGGACTGCGGGGGGTTTAAGAAAAACTCCCTAGCCACCTAAGAGGGACGGGAAGGCCCGACACCGGAGACGACCCGGGCGACTGTCGAAGAGGACGAAGCTGACTGACGAGGCCGGCGCAACCCCGTTAAGTTGTGCGTGTAGAAGCAGTTTGTGTGTGTAGAAAGCAGCGAACTCTGCGTGATGGTGGAAGCCGGTTCGGGCCTCTCTTTGAAACGTACCGAAACGTATTTTTACGATTCCAGTTATCGTTGTCTGAAAGGACGGATTATCAAGAAGGGTGGAGAGCACTTGACCTAAACTCCAAAGACCGCCCTGGACCCAGGTGCGACCCTGGCTCAATATTGTGCAAGAGACTTGAAAGAAGGAGGACTGCATGTAAGAAGTCGAGGGGGCAAATGGTGTCCAGTACCACCCCCGTCATCGAGTCACCAAATCTCGATCGGAAGGGTGAACGGATACGGAAGTGGGACCATTTATCGATACCGATCAAACTCACGTCGAAAAATGAATTTGGTTATTGGGTTTAATTCCTTAAAGTAAGTTACTGAAAAAGACTGAAGACAGGCCATGTCCAACTTTATACTAGCACCAAAACTAAACACCTCTGAAGTTTACAGGTTGACACACTAACGCTCAGGTTTTTCGAGACCAATGCTGAAAAATTAGAGGACTAATAAAGCCCCCAGAGTAAGTCAAGGCACGACCGGGTTGTGTGCTTTTTCCTGTGTGTAAACTAATCATAATAGCAAACCTGACAGAAGACAGAAGACACACTTTAGACAACGTCGCTACCCACTAGAGTCTGGTAAATTGCCAAGACAATGGTTGAAAGCTAGGAAAGGCGTCCTCCAGCTTAGTGCACGGGGACGCGTAGCAGACGCAAGTTAATGGGGAACCGACGGAGTGTCAAGAGACTACAAAATTACGAAGAGGCTAAGACATTTAAATCTGCCACTTGACACGAAGATCACGACAACTCGAATAAGAGGTACAAACAGAGCTGTAACATGTGATTATGAAACATAAGACACAGGAAAAATGCATTGCGGGGTTTCAAGAGAGTCTGGCACCGAGTTACCTGAAATGGAGCAACGAGAGTCTGCGAACGTCCGCACGTCTCTCTTTTACCTTTTTTCCTATTTGAGGTCAACAAGGAATATTAGGAAGTACGAACGGAAAGGCATGCTGGTCTGCCGTCCAGTTTTCGTTCGGTTTTGTTCTCGTGTAAACGACATTAGAGGTTTTTGTCGGTATCCGACAGTATAGGGGGGGTAGTTGATTTATGGTTGCCTGATGTAGGTTTGGACAGTAGTATAAACTCCAATGAGGGTCTGAGGTGGAGGAGAGCTTGGCGATCGTAGACGAGCAGAGCAGAGACATTCTGTCATACATAAAACGAAAGCAGGATAGCTAAAGGCAGAGAGCTGAGGGAGCTGCGAGCCGACACAGGCGCCATCTTCCCTCACTGTTCACAGCTGTACGGTCTCTCTGTGACGTCAGTGACAACGGAAAGGGGGGAATTACTCACACTCATGACATGGTGAAAGGTCGGTGGGTAAATGTTGTATTATATTAAAAATGGTCTAATATTTTAAGGCGACGGTGATAACTACGCAAGTCTCTTCTTAGCAATTCCCGATCAGGAAGTGAGGGCGTGGGGATAAAAGTTAGGTCAAGTTCCAGGACTGCCTGCTCAGAAGGGGAAAGCCGGAAGGACGAAAGGTTGGTTATGTTAGATTGTGAAGATGGAGGGGGCAGCTCTGCGCTTATGGGCTGTAGAGTAAACCCAGGTAGTTTATCCAATGTTTTAACATGACCTGCGCTGTATTGCGGACCCAATGGATAAGATCCCTATGGGTGTAGAAGAGGAGGGATGGTAATAGCGGGAGGTATGTTACATGGGGAATCACGGCACTAATAGAGTTCGCCACAAAGTAGTTAAAAGCTTGGACATACAAGATTTGGCTTCTGAGAAGATTGCTGGAATAATTTAAGAGCGGTACATATATTTTGGCATTTGGGAATGTGGCTCTGGTCGTTCTCAGAAGGCGACGGAGGTCTTTGGTAATAGTCAATGTGGTTTGATCCCTGGACGGATGGACCTGAGCTATGGTAATCGGGGCCTCGGAACTGGTGGTGGGGTGGTTGCGGTAAGTGGTCCCAATGGTGGAAAAGGGGATTGAAGGAGACAGGGGGGTCAACCTAGAGCAGGTAGGTGAGAAACTGGGTCGGTGATAAGAGTAGGTGTAGTGGTGAGGGAAAGGGAGGAGATGGCCAAGGTGGGGCTGCAATGAACTACTCTCGGGGTGGGAAGGCACCTGTTAGGTACGGGGGGACAGTCAGGGCCACTAGATGGTGGAGAGGCAGGTAGGACTGAAGGGGTAAGGTCTGGTCCACTGGGTGGTGGAGGGGCCCGTGTTAGGGGGATAGGTCTAAGTGAGGGGGGCGGGCAAGTCCTAAGGTAGGTGGGGGGGCCCGGTTGCCCAACAAAGGATGAGGGGGACGAGGATGGAGGGGCCGGGGAGGGAGTGATAAAGAAAGAAGGGAGGGGATAGTGGTGATACCTAAAGGTAGGGTAAGGGTGTTGGGAAGGCTACGGGGGGTGGAACGTAATAGCCGAGGGGGTTGAGGTCTCTGTGGCAGTGTTGGAAACTAAGTAGGGTTGGTGATGTCAAAAGGAGGGGTAGGTGGGTGGGGGTCTGAGGGGTTTAACAGGGAGTGTAACGTGGTAATAGATGAAGGGGTGAGTTTCTTGTTATAACGTTGACGGGCCCACTTGAGGGCCCTGTCATACTGGTACCCTAATGGGACCCAGGTTGAGACTGAGGTCCTGGAGAATGTTAGCATAATGCTGTTTCAGGATGTCCAGATTTCGGTTCATCCAGTTTTGTGTTAGCTTCAACCAGATTTAAAACTGCACTATTAGGAGCTGCTGTTTGAATTAATTAAGTTAAAGTATGGGCTTTCCTAGCCATACCGGGTGGTGGAGATCCAAGGCGAGCTGCCTCGTCGAGGATCTCCACATGGTGGATAGCCTGGAGGAGTTTAAAATAAGTTTCCTCAGTAGGGGCCCTAGGCAGAAGGGGTAGTATAGAGCGATTACGATAAGAGCCAGCCATATAGCTGGTCGGTAAGGGGAAGGCAGGGGAAGGGAGAACAATGGGCAAGAAAAAAAAAAGAGAAGAGAAAGTACAATGTAATCCTTAAAAACCAGCTTTAAAAACATTTAAGTACTGCAAAAAGCACGACCAATCATTTTAGCCGGCCCGGCTAAAGAAACTGGATGGCCTTCCTGCCTGTCAGCCTTCCATCTGTGCACAAACTTATCTCGTGCCCTCATTGGTCATGTGTGCGTTCGTGTGTGTTGGAGGAGGGGCTCTGTAAGGAAGTGGCAGATTTTTTCCGGCTGTGTATTTTCAAATTCTAGCGCACTCGAGCTGGTTTCTCCAAAATTACCTACCCCACCTTTAAGTGATGAAATATCTTGATTTATAGTTTGGATACAGCTACAAAAAGGATCCTATATTGTAAAATTCACAGAGGAAGTACGCAATAGTTTGTGTTCATTAGAACGGTATGTCACTTATTTCACAAGCCAATTCATAACATGATTTCTATAAAAAAGTTTTTTCGTCTCAAGGCCCAAACAAATGACATGAAACATTTAGTAAAAACACTTTTTGAATTGTCAGGTGGATTTTCTCTACACTTGAGAAGCTCCCCTCAGAGCTGAAGACATGATGTGTAAAATGTGTTTCAAACTGTGAATGCGAGGCGTCCCTTTCAATGTCACGGCCTATTCAAGTCTAAGCTCCTCCTAAAATGCAGTAGACCTTCATATGACTTGGGTGTTTTTGTTGAAACCAGCTCCTCCTGTTACTGTTTGCTTTCTTATTGGTAATTAAAAGAGCTACAATATTTGTGAAAGAATATCTGTTAAAATGGTGTTACTGTCTTTCAGGGAGGAGAGCCTGATCATACGAGTTATTCCTGTTTGTAGAAGCACAGCTTGTCTCAGCACATTCCTGTTGCTTGGACTCATTTGGCTGTCGCAAGCGTTGCTTTCACCTGGAAAAATAACGCCTGACCAGTCTGCCATAAAATGTGTGGGTAGTGTACGCCTTTATTTTGTCAATCATCAGCTAAAGTGAAAACAAAGGTAGAAAAATGCAAGCTTAAATGGACAAAGATGTGAGTAAAAAAAGAAACTTGTGGGAAATCTCGCTCCAGGGCTGCAAAACCACATTGCTGCTTCTACATTATTTAGTAGCTCATTATTAATCAAGACATATTACTGAACAAGCCTAAAATAGGTGACCGCTGACACTAACTGCTGCAGACAGTAGCGTTCTTACCGGCATGAGTTGGAGGTGTGATGGAGGCCTCTGCAGCTGTGTTTGGAGGCGTCATGACGGAACTGCCATTGGAAGACGCAGCAACATCTACGGTGTCCGTTGAGTTCTGCTGGGAAGGAGCCGGAGCATTGTCTGCGCTCCCATTGGCTAACTGGCTATGGGTCTCCTGGGCGACGGTGCTGGGTTCTGTGGGAGTTGGGTGACCTGCTTCCTGTTTGTGACTTTCCTGTAGAAAGAGTAGAAAGAGTCAAGGATTATTTGTAACATACCCTCTAGGATGCAGCATGTAGGAAGGGTGATTGCATGAATGAGGATGGGAAGTATTAGAAATAAAAGTATGACGAAAAAAGTGCTGTTACAAAGAGCTAATTAAAGCAATCTGCTTCCAAAAAAAACAAGATAAAGGATGCAAAGGATCAACCATTTACAAAAATAACAAATATTATGTCAAGTTACCGTTTTGGTTTGGTCTCCTGTGTGTTCTCCGGGAAGAGCTCTTCTAAGTCTTGCTCTGATGGTCGGGGTCTTAAAGTAAAGTTGCAAACAAGACATTTTATTTTTACACAAATATTTTTGGAAATCCTATATATACAGAAACACTTCAAAATCTTCTGATAGCAAATCCAAATGCTCTCCCAAATTGAACATTCTGTGTATCCATCGGCATCATTTTATTTATGATATTTAAAAAGAAAGTCAGTAGCTGGCTGTGACTTAATGAAGGTAACTGAAAGCAGATTTTATAACAACAATGACGGTGTTGACTTTACCCTAAGCTAAATGACAGAACCATCTTGGAAAATGATCAAATCAGTTCAAATATGTTCAGTCTAGATGTAGCCCCGTACCTTTGAGAGCAGCTGAAGGAGGCCGAGGGACTCCTGGTGGGGTTGGGGCAGGGTGTTGATGGGGCACCCCGACTTCCTGGTGCAGCGGAGGAACACACACTGCCCCCCGAGGCTCCACACAGCAGTGCAGCTGGGGTTCAAGCAGCAGGCCTCCCAACAGGTGGCCCCGCCTCTCCCTTTGGCCAGAGAGTGCCATCCAAGGCCGATGGTGCTGCTCCAGTGCATCCCCAACACCCCGCCAGTCACCCGGCACAGATTTGCTGAAACACCTGGAGGGGGATAGAAGGAAGAGAAAACAATGATGTACTGCACTGATGTCCACTCCCTGCGAGAGATCAGTAATGTGGCAACATATTGGTAGTTGGTCATGATATAGTGCTGAAGGGATGACATTTTTTTTTAGATAAACTCACAGATTAGAATTACTGTGGTTTTGAAAACAGAAAGTCGATAGGATTTTTCCATTGGATTTCCGATCATTGCAATAAATATTAACAGCGGCAAAAAATGTAGCAAGATAACCTTCACAAATAAACACACATTTTATGATTTTAGAGCTTAAATGCAGCCGCAAGAAGTAAAGAGCTATAAACTAATCATGCTACGGTTGCAGGATTTCAATGACGACAGCATTACGCTTCTAACTGGTCATTTGAGTTTGTGGGCAGACCTCTGTAGCTTCTTCTTCCATTTCTTATTTGCATGGCGTGATCTAGCTTGTGGTCATGGCTGTGTCAAATTACTATTTTTCAAGAGCACTAGAAAAATGCAGTAGGAAGATGAGTTTCCCTGTTCGGCATGATGACGTTTAATGTCCCCGATAACCTTTGTAGTCTCAATGACCCACTTAAAACAGTCACAAGTGGAGTATTTACTCATGTTTTTCAAGGCCCTTAACAAAGCCTGAACGTCCCTAAAGCGTGTGTCAACAACAGACCCCATTTCAGGCATAAAAAAAATTACTTTAAACATTTATTTGACTTTGGAATAGAGGGGATTTGCAAAGATGCGGACTCATTAGTGTGTTTTACGACTCATTCCTGCAGCACATTATGAGGGTGAAATGGAGGACAACAGTTAAATGTTATAAGCTCATTTGTGTTTTGTGTAGCGTGTGGTTTGATCAAAAGGATCTGTCAAAGGATCCGCTACCAGGCAGCGCTTCCCAGGCTTTTCAAGATTTCCCTTGTCAATCAATCAGGCCATTGTTGGGTACTCTTGGCATTGTCGAAGGCAAAGGGGCAAAGTGAAACCCACAGTGAGACTTTTCACAGATTAGGCTCCGACTGAACGTTTCTCAGAAGAGCAGACAAGCAGCCGCGATTTCAGCAGTTGGAGAGAGGAAGTTAAGCTTTTCCCTGACAAAACAAGACACTGATTAAAACCCAAAGCACAGTTTGCGGTACGCACCAAACTCCTCCCTCCGAGCCAGAACACATCAGAGTCATATCAGCAGTGCAGTGCAGTGAGCTGGTACACTAAGCTGCCCTTTGTGCGTGTTACTCTTCCAGGGCTTGGCCAACAACTAATCTTAGTCAAGTACGAAATGAGACAATGAAATCCAGCTGTTCTCTAACATGCGCAAGTAATTGTGTAGACAGCTACAAACAATGGAATACTAGGGACTGTTAAATATCACATAATGTGAAATACTACGGAATGTAAAATACTACGGAATGTAAAATACTACGGACGGTAAAACAGGGTGAATTGAGATGTTATAACTCACAACTACTCAAATGAATGACCACCAAAACACAAAAGGTCAAACTAGCTATATATACATAAAGACAAATAAAAACTGCTGTGTCACTGTAAATTATGGAAACTGCAATGACAATGAAAATTGTTTTATTTCTGTGTTGCAGTTCTGAAAGGTCGACACAGGGAAGCTGATCAAATCAAAACAAGTGTACTATCCCAGAATGGAAATACTGGTTGTTTTCATCGTATTCATTTATTAACAGCCTAGTATTCTGCACTGCATTTGGAAATCTACTGCCAATAGATGTAGCTAAAGTCTCCTACAAGGCTGAGTGACCGGATAAATAAAGATATGTATATATATATTTTCATGACGAGGCAATCACAAAAAGGTGAATCAAATTGCTGAATAATAAAATGTAATACCAGCATTTCCGAAACTAGTGTTTCTTAAACTCAAAGGAAAACCTGAACAACATAGCTTATGAGACCCTGCTGTACCCATAACTGTTGCTGCCATGGCAACAAGAAGGCTAAGGTTGACTTTATGGGATGTCAGTTTAACTGAAGTCTGGAAAAACACAGGTCTTGCCCCACACAGGAAACACACAGAAGCCTGAGTTTGTTGTCCCCCACCCCTCAACACACACATGCACAATGTCCACTCACAGAGGCACACACAGACACAGACACACAGTAGGGTTGCCAACGGTTCTGTGTCTCTCCACCTCAGATTAGGAGGCCAGTAAACAATCAAATTATCATAACAAGATTCCAAGAAGGATGCAGTCCCGCCCTGAGTAATCAAAGGCGTGTGAATCTACAGTGCAGATTAACACATGTGGTTCAGTCAGTTGTGTTTAGGGTAACAATTGTTTGTCTTACCTGTGGGAGAAGACAAGACTAAGAGGTAGGTCAACGTCAGGAGGAGGAGGTGAGGTAAGCTCCAGGTGAGCAGCTTGTGGTGTGCATAGGACATGGCGACCAAGGACCTAGGAACATTTGATAAAACCAAGTTAGTATTATTAATAATAATAAATTATATTTATATAGCAATTTCCTCAAACTCAAAGACTCTTTACAGTATAAGGCAGAGTGTACAAACAAAGACAGTCAACAGGGATGGATTGATTGGGGGGGTAGACAGAGGTGAAGAGATTAGTTTTGAGGCGGGACTGGATTTTTTTTTTTAAATATATATATTTGCATCGGACACTTTCATTGAGTGTTTAAAGGAAGCGTCAAATGGAATATTTTGATGATGTCGCCACCCTAAAATAAAATACTTGAATGATTGAACATAACTCAATTTATACTGTAATAGTGATAGTTCACCAACTATCTTAAATTAATATAACTCAGTGACTTGAGTTATTTAGTGTAATATTTTCCGAGCCAGAACAGATTTTGTGGTTAATCAAATGTTATTTATCGAGCTGTTAAAATGCTGCCAGACCACATTGTTAATTTGGTGAGTGCAGCAAAGAGGTGGCTGGTTTTTGACTGCAGTGAAAATAGTGTCCTTGAAAAGGTGAACGCCCACAAATATGGATTGAGGAGGATTATTTTGTTACATAAAATCATGATTGAGTTTTGGATTAGCTAACAATTCAGTGGTTAGTGTGTTTTAATGTTAATTCTATCTTCATTTAACAGAAGTGGACAACCAAAATAACATGAAATAACAAAACATTAAATGGAATAGTTGTGAAATACACTTTATGGCTCTGATGCCAAGAGTTAAAGGAGAAAACACATTCATGTCTGTAATAATTTGAGAGGTAAACACTCAAGATATTAGAAGCATGCGTTCACAAAACCGTAAGTGTCACACTGAGACTGAACAAGAAAATATTTAGATTAGAAGGTTATTTCTAATTGTCATCACAGCCTCTCATTAATTTTACATTCTGATCTCTCTCTCATCCCCAATCAACATATGGCAGAAGAAGATATACTTAATACCTTTCTCCCGGCCAGGCGCAGGAAGAAGGAGAGTGATAGGGAGAGGAGTTAGGTGGGCAGCCAGGTGCTGTGGGGCGATGGGTGAAGACGGGTCAACGCCAGAACTCTGAGGAGATCCAACATGGCCGTCTCCGGTGCCTTCACCGGCTCAAAACTTCAAACAAAACTAGAGAGCGCAAAAAAAAAAAGAATATAAAGGGGTTGATAAGTGGATCATTCTATGTCATTGATGAACCGACCTGGACCACATAGGATTGAGCGTTCAATATTACCATATACTGGCTCTTAGTTGAAATGAATCCATTCTTTCCATTATTATGTTGTCCAAATAAATGTTTCAATGTGAACTCAAACTCAAAAGTGAGTTATTGATGTCTTTGTTTTCCACATGACAAGACTAAGTGGGAAATGTTGTATACACAGTGCTTTAGCCCTTTAGAGAAGCACTCAAAATAATCTGAAAAGCTTATATAACATCAACTTTATAACAAAAGTTAATGCAAATTACATTCAACTCCTTTAACTGCAGAGAGCAAAAATAGGAATGTTTCTTCAAATCATTTTACTTTAAGTATAGTTGGAACGTAGCATTGAAAAGATGGTCACGACAAACACTATGTCATCAAAACACAGAGGGAGAAGGAAAACATAAATGATATAGTTTAGTGGTCTGTTGGAAACACACACTTCACTTCTGGCTTATATAAGAAATTAGGATACCATCTACGTTTGTTATTATTTACAACAAAGAAAAACATTTCCTGATTGAGCCTATAGCCGATAACAAATTCTGCTAACATCCTGTTGGCTATGACTCTTAAGAAAGTGAAACATGTTTCACATTCCTCCCGACTCATATGCTAATAATAACTTTGCATATAAGGTAAAAGGTGATAAGCGGTGACAAGTAAAAGTTCAGATTTAAATAACATACTTCTATGACAGGTGTTTAGTACCTCTGTCATAGCCGGAGGCATATCTCAAAACACTATACAACAACGTTTATTATGTCATCTCTGTCATTGGTCGTGGTCATAGCATAACAACAAATTACCCAGCCTGTATGTTCATAACAGAAGGGAACATTTGAAGTGGTTAATAGCTGGGTATAAGGGACTGCATGCAAAAAAATGCATGTCTACCCCTCTTCTTAAAGTCTTGTCTAGAGACTTAAGAGCTGTCCCAATCTAAAGTTACTTTATCCATTTTAACAACACTATAGTAAATATAACACATGTTATGATAAAGTCACAGGCCATCCAGGCCCTTTGGGTAACATCCTAACACTTAATGTTCTTTCCTACAGGAAGTGTGATGAGGAAGTTTCTCATTTCAACGCAATTACTGAAGATAATACATTCATGCTGCAGAATAATTACCGGGCTGAATGAGTCACAAGAAAAAGGATCAAGATGCGGACTGCACAAAAAAAGAATGAGGAACAATAGGTTCCCAGCTTATAGGGATCTGTTGTCTTGAGATCCAAAAGTAAATTCTTTCAGGTAAACTAACACTCCAGGAAGGCACACTCATGATTTGATGAGGAATGCATGATGTAAAACAGCACGTTTCCCCCTCCAACATTTCCATTGCAAGTTCTGACAGCAGAATGGGATAAAAAAAAAAAGAAAAGAAAAAAGGGGGGAGTGAACAGTACAAGTTCTGGGACACTGTGTTCAACACGTATGCAAGCTTCTTCTACCACAACGTCCCACCAGGAGACTATTATGGAGCAATGCAGAAATGAAGCAAGCAGCTTTCACAAGCATCTGCTGTGCAGACTGTGTAGATGTCGGCTAAGCACTGTATATCCATATTGTTGAAAATAATATTACTTTTTCTCTGTTTGTCAGTATTTAAAAAAGACATGCACATGGTGATACTTGGTCTGTAAAATCCCACTCTGTAATATTTCAAGATAGCAGATTACCTTGGTTAAGGCTGTTAAAACCGTGATATAAAAATGTTCAAAGGTTATCACTCGGCACAGATCACACACTCTCACGAACTGCTGACACAAACCTGTATGATCCACATGTCAATCTGCATTCCTGCGAATGGACACTTGAGCCCCAGCACTCTCCTTCAGTGCTATAATCAACAGCTCAGTAAATCCCAAATGCACAAACGGTCATCAGTCCTCCAGCACTTGTTTTTCTTTCCCCATGTGAAAATAATCTCACACAAAAAAGAATTCTGGACTCACGTTTTCCTTCTCTAGCTATTTTTTTTTTAACGACGCAGCAAGTGACCCCCAGACTGGTAGAGACTAGAGTGTGTCCAGCAGGAGAAATGCCCAGGTGCACTCAGTCACCTGGGCTGATGACAGCTCAGCCACTATGGACCTTTCTGTAGCCACTTTTCCCTTGAGATGCGTCTGGAAAACAATGATCTCTGTGACCAAAAAACCAGAGATCAAGAAAGGACAAGTTCTCGCTCTCTTTTTTTGTGGCTGTTTCTTCCTCCTCTTTCTCTCTCAGTTGCAGCAGTCAATAGCACACTTGTCAGCTCTGTATCAGCTTCTAGGCAGACAGGTTGGTGGGGCTTTCTCTGTAATGACACCAAGGCCCACGCACAGTCTCTTCTGGCAGCTACAGTAAAGGAAAATGAAGATTTGTTTTCCTCTCCAGGCAGAAAAATCTGCTCAATAATAATAACCTTGGCAACAAGATTCTCATCCTTTGATCATATTAATATAAATGCAATGCAAGCATCATAGCAAAACCATAAACCCCTGTGCACAAGATTATCATAAGAGTTTAAAAAGGAAAACTCAAAACAAAAGTATTATACAACTGAGTGAAACCTCTATCTGCATTTAAAGACACACTATGAGTTTTACAGCATCAGACTCATATCAGCTGGACTTCTACTGAGCTACTAATCTTATTTGCTTTAGTCACTTTTTTGTATCCATTGTATTGATTTTGTCATGCACAAATATTATTAATAGTATGATGAACTCATTGCAATAGAGCAGGGGTGTCAAACTCAAATACACAGTGGGCCAAAATAAAAAATGGGTACCCGAGGGCCGGACTGGTTCAATGTTTATTCTAAAACTTATTGACATTAACTTATAGCACATATTAAACCTGGAACTAACAAAGCTTAAATGATGGCCTATAAAAACAACATTAATCAGTTGCATTCATTTCTTATGGCTCTATCTGCAGCTTTTCATCAGTCATTTCTTATGATTCGATTTTTCCACAGGCCAACAACAGCTTCAAAAGAACTATTTCCCTCAAAGAAAAAAAAACATGCCCTGTTTTCGCAACAACAAAAAAGTGCAGAAGGAAACAAACTCAGGATTGAGTGAAGGTGTGCGTGTAATATACCGGCGGGCCAGATCTAATAGTAATTTTAAATGATCTTGCGGGCCGAAATTAAATCCACCAAGGGCCTGATTTGGCCTCCGGGCCTTGAGTTTGACACATGTGCTTTATAATCCACCTACAACATACATAAGCTATGACTAACACAGACAGAGCAGACAGGTGGATTTCAAACCTCATTCTTGTAATTATTTCGCAGGGTTGAGCAACATACGAGCCAGCAGTAAACAGTTTGATGTTCCTCTACACCACACTGTCATTTGGAG